CATGTGCCATCCCATGCCGTTTTGGAGGCCTGCATGGCATGTGCCTGGGGTTCCCGGGCCAGCATGGCATGGTACCAGGAATCAAACTTGGCCCTTAGACCGCCTAGCTATCTCCCCAGCCTTAGTGTAGTTTTAATTTGCATTTCCTTAATGACTAATATGGACCAATAGTGTTTTAAAAGATTTTTAAAGTAGTACTAATTGCCAAACTAAAATGTTTCACTTGTTCTTTGCCAAGGAAAGAAACCAATATCCCTTATTGGCCTTCTTAGATAACATACTGCCCAAATGTCCTATTTACCCATTGGGCAGAATGCAGGACTGCTTTCAGATCTTTTACTGATGTAACATAATAGCTGCAAGGTGCTCATAAAATTTCCCTGAGGAAATCCTAGGAGGTCCAATATCTAGGGTAGGAGAGTGTAGGGACTTCCTGGGAGAAATTCAAAGTTCTCAGGACAAAGAAGGTGGATAGACCACTTTCCTTCTGCTCTAAGTATGTGCTCATCTGGTCCTTGATATGCATACACTGGCTTCAATTCATATACGACAGTAAGAGAACGTTATTGTTTTGGGATAATTACTCAAGTTTTTAGTAGAACCTATACATTTCCCAAAGCATAGTGAGACCTGCCCTCTGGAGAAAATGTAGCTCAATGCATCATGATCCAAGCATGATGACTGTAATACATGAGCTGCAATTTCACATTTTAACTAAGTATTTCATGTGACTTTCTAGTAATACCATACCTTCCAATCCCAGGATCCACGTGCTCTTGAGTTACTGTCTCTAGAAAAGGAAATAATGCAATCCATTTATTAGAATTCATGTATTAAAGTAGAACTTCACATCTAACATGGATGACCTTTAAGTTCTTCCTCTTTACTTGAATCAAGCAGAAAAATTACTGCTGAAGACTTTAACCCTTAAATGTCTAGCATTCCATTTTAGAATACCTATAGCCATGGAACAAAATAATTTTTCTCTTCAAATTCTTGATCCTTCAATGTTTCTAGGTAACACATACAAATTTCATGCAAAAATTACAATCTTTGGCAGAAATAGGTTGAGACCTTAATGTTCATGTAGAGGAGAAATTATACTTGCATGAGTCTATAACAAGGTGAAGAAATTATTTAAATATTGTTTTTGTCTTCATTTTTAGTTTTATGTATTTATTAATTTATTGAGAACTAAAAATGCATGTATAAACTAACAACTTTTGGGTATACAAAAAGCATTTCATAAAATGATTCACTTTATGATTATAAGGACAATTGCATGCACGGATATACTTCTGTACCCTTTTGATTATTTTATTTGGGTTTTTGTGCTATTGATAAATGTACCTTTCTCCTATATCTTTGTCATTGAAGAATATGTACCTACATTCTTTAGGGATTCAATTTTAAAGATAATTTATTTACATAACTCACTTAAAATGGTAAATAGAAGCTTTAAATGACATAAAGCAAATAATTGCTGTTCTTTAAAAATATCATGGCCTGTTCCAACACAGCAACCACTGAAGAATAGCAGCCACGGCCCTACACTATCCCATGGCCGTGGGCCTCAACAAGAGCCACAAGGTGACTAAGAATGTGAACAAACCAAGGCACAGCTGCCAATATGGACACCTCACCAAACACACCAAGTTCACATGGGACATGATCCGGGAGGGATGTGGCTTCACCCCCTACGAGCAGCAAGCCATGGAGCTGCTCAACGTTTCCAAGGACAAGGGCCCACCAGATAGCTTAGTGGATTAAAGCGCCTACAAGCAGGCACAGGGGCCAGGGGCTCGATCGCCAAGCCTGCCATGCTGACCCCACCCCTGGGGTGTCCTGAGACAGCCATTGAGATGGTGTGGTGGCATGCGCCTGTAATCCCAGCAGTTGGGAGGCTGTAAACAAGAGGACCACTATGAGTCCGATCTAGTAGTGAGACCCCGTACACCCTGTCGTAAGTACAAAAAAATTAATTAAAAAAAAAGAAAGGTTTCCAAGGACAAATGTGCCCTCAAGTTCATCAAGAAAAGGGTGGGGACGCACATCCACGCCAAGAGGAAATGTGAGGAGCTGAGCAACATGCTGGCCACCATGAGGAAGGCAGCTGCCAAGAAGGACTGAGCCCCTCTGGAATAAAGCTTTTCAGAAAAAAATGAAATAAAACCAAAACAAACAAACAAAATAGCAAGGGCTGGCCAGATAGCTCAGCGGACTAAAGTGCCTGCTTAGGCAGATGCAGTGGCTGGAGTTCCATCCCCCACATGCTGTCCGGCCCCGCTGCCAGGGCACACTGAGATGGCGACTGAGATGAGACATGGCGGCACGCACTTTGGGAGGCTGTAAACAGGAGGATCACTATGAGTCCGACCTACCTACATAGTGAGACCTCGTAGACCCTGTACTAAACATAAAAAAAAAAAGTCAAAATATACTAACATCAAAAAGATAGCCCACTATTTTGAGCTGGCTTGTGTCTTTCAGTTTTTAATGCAATTCATATTTATGGATATCAAATGGAACAAAAAGCAGTTACTTCATTCTAAAGTCCAACATCTAGAATCTCTTCAGGCCAATACATTACAAACTGATTGCTAATCATGGTTGACCAGAATCACTGAGGGAGCTTGTTGAAAACTCCACTCTAAACATGCAGGTTCAGTGTACCTATATTTCAGAAAGTCAAACTGCTTTCCAGGACCCCAAAGGTTAAGAACGACTGCTGAAGGAATAAGAGCTCATGATCGGGCTCAGTGCCTTGAACAGCGGTGGAGCGCTGCGTTTCCATTCCTGGCTGCCAACACTGATGACCACCTAGTGGTAAACACAGTTTGTTTGTACTTTTATGGGTTCATTAATACTAAGTAGGTGAGGCCTGGGAGATGGCTCAGTGGAATAAGCGCTTTCCTGGCAAGCGCAAGGGCCTGAGTTCAATCCCCAGTTCTGCCCACCTCCCCCCAAAAAAAAAGAAATCCCAAGTAGGATCCAAATAATATACTATGAAGCAAAATTTAGGGAAAGCTAAAATTTTACCATAATAATTTCCTTACATTTTAATTAACTTGTATCTAGAGTAAAATGAACATATATCATTTTTTAACTGACCATGAAATTTTCTCACTAGACGGGACTCATAGTGATCTGCCTGTTTACAGCCTCCCAAGAGCTGGGATTACAGGCTTGTGCCAACCGCGCCCAGTCTCAATCGCTGTCTCAGCGCACCCTGGGAGCGGGGCCAGTATGGCAGGCCCGGGGATCAAACCCCCAGCCCCTGTGCCTGCTTGTAGTTGCTTTAATCCACTGTGCTATTTGGCTAGCCCTTGTTTACTTTTTAAATTATTTTTGCAGCACTATGTTTGAATCCAGGGCATTCACAGTGAAAGACTACATTCACAGTCTTTTATTTTTGTGTATGGCTCATTTTTAATTTTTAAAATAAATCTGCAATAAATCTTTATTATGTATAAAGGTTTTTTTTAATCCTTTTTTTTTTTTTTTTTGGGGAACCAGGGATTAAACTCAGGCCCTTGTGCTTGCCAGGCAAGCACTTACTCTACTGAGCTATCTCCATGGCCCCATGTTTAAAGTTTTAACACCTGTCATTTCCACAATGTTAATATTTGTAAGTCTTTTATATCCAAAGTACATCTGAAAAGTAAACATGACTTCACTGAAAAGTGAAGACATAAGCACTAGTTCACCAAACCCTATTCTTTAGGTTCTATAATTTCCTCATTTTAAGAAAAACACAACATTCTACCTTTTAAAAGTAAGGTTTTAGGGCTGGGAGATAGCTCAGCAGCATAAGTGCTCGCCTGGCAAACTTAAGGTCCTGAGTTCAATTCCAGTACCCTTCCACCCAAAAAAGTTCTAGAGATTAACTGTAAGTGAATAAAGGCCAGATGAGCGGTTTAGAAAGACATGTACACAGAAGCCAAAATAAACACTGTTCATTTCTATGCCACTGGGCAAGAACACAAGGCAGGATGTTTCTACTAAAACAGCAAATAAGTATTTTATAGTCAAGAGGTATTTTATAGGTCTCTTAAACTTGTATGAAGAACTCAAAGAAACTTAGCCCAGGCACTCCAGTGACACATCTCTGCTGAGAGTGGCAGCCTGACCTTACATGCAGCCACTAGCATCCCCGAAATCCAACAAAAAAACTTGGGAGAGCTGAAACACATATACTAGCTACCATGTGAGAGAGTGAGAGATCTAGCTTCTCCAGTGTGGCACACGAAAAAGGTAAGGCCTAGTGGGTGAAAACTGTAGTGAATCCAGTTTTAGATCAATTATGAGGACTGATCAAAGTCATAATTTATTTAAGCAAAGAAAACTTTATTTCTGCTGTACATAACAACATAGTTTCTGTTTCTCTAAGAGACTTCATTTCTCTCACACTTAACAACATATGATCCTAACAACAACTGTAATATTAGTTTTAGCATTAAGGTATGGATCTTATAATACATGTCAGCCACCCCTGATTTCCCAATAAAACAATGGTGTGCAGACAGACTATCAGGAATATGAAAAAAAAAAGCTGTCAGCTGTCCACAGGGAGAGCGTCCAGTCACATTTTCAGTCAGTCAGCTGAGGATTATGTCATTATTTAGTCTTTCTTCTGTAGAAAGAACACAACACAAGTATAAAAATCATCACCTGAAATAGCTGTTATATAGAGTATATATCGTACTCCTAAAATGTTAAGAATTCCTTTATTTCAATAAAACTAATGTGGTCTGTTTAATCATAGCTGCTTCCAAATAAGCAAAACCAAACTTACTCTGAAGAATGATGCAAGCAGGTACTGAATTGCTGGAGAGAAAATGCTGTGAATTAATAAAAAAGCAAATGCTCTGGGATAACTTACGTCTTTTCTTTGGCACATAGGAACCCATCTCAAAACAAAAAACTACTCAAAATCATGTTAAATTTGGGAAAGTCTATCATGTTCTTTTGGCAAACCTTCAAATAAGTTTATTATTTAGAGTCAAGGTCTCACCACATCACCCAGGCTGGCCTGGATGCTTAGGCTCAAGCAAACCTCTTGCTTTGGCCCCCTGAGTTGTTGGGAGAATCAGTAGGCAATACGTTATTTATTTGACACACTACAAAAGGAAGACGATCTCATTATGATGCCCTCAGTAGGTAAAAGATACGCAGCAAAATTAAATGAACAAGCCATGTTACAATTAGAAGACATTAAAATTAGAGCTAATTATGTCCTTCCCAAATAACCACCTCAACTAGTCAGACCCTACTCTTTTCTTGCTCTGAATAAGAATAAAAGGAAAAAAAAAGTAGGTTAATATCTACCTGATTAGTCATTTTGGTGAATATGTAATTCTTTTAATGTAGGGAAATGGATGAATGTACATCACTTGCATGTCTCATACCATTAAACATAATTCTTTCTGATTTGATTGTTATTATTTTGGATGTGATGTCATACGTCAGATCTCAAAAGTTTCACTGAAGTTATAAATACAAGGGCTTTAGCCTATACTTACAAAGCATTTAAAAATTTTATATTTTTAAAATTTGTAAGAAACTTTTGCAGTGGCCGGGGTTCAATCCCTGATGTGCCTTACCAGCCCCGACCCTGATTGAGACTGGGCATGGTGGTGCGCGCCTGTAATCCCAGCTCTTGGGAGGCTGAACACAGGCAGATCACTATGAGTTTGATCTACATAGTGAGACCCTGTAGATCCTGTACTAAAATACAAAAAAAAAAAAAAAAAAAAAGAAGAAAAAAAGAAATTTTGCTGGCTTACTATCTCTCAACAACTATAAAGCACCTTGGCTTGGAAAGACAGAGAGCTATTGGAGCTCTAATTTAAATCCGGATCTCATTTTAAGTCCAATATTCTAATTAAAATATAAAAAATCATTAGGAAAAGCCCCACCATGAAACTAATGAATATACTTGGAGTTAATGTCTTTTTTCAGGACGAAGTCTTCAACAGAAATAAGAATGCTTAAACATCAAAACATTCATAGAAAGGAATAAACAATTTTTGCAAGGTGATTTAGAGGATAGCATATCTAGACAGAAGGGCATATTTACCAGGCAGAGCTGTGCCACTGAGCTATATCCCCAGCCCTTTTGAAGGGCATGTAAGATAGCATGTCTCAATATTTTATTAATCAATAAGAAAAAGTTATTTTTTTTTTTCACTGACAAGTATTTCTAGGATTAAACTGCTAACACCATATGGTACAATGAAAAAAGATTTTGGTCATGAAATAAAATATTTTAAAAACATAGTTATCACCATGGGCACCAAGTGGGCATTTTGAATTCCCAAATGCCTTCTCTGAAAGAGGAACTGATGCTGACTTGCTGTAGGAGAGAAGGGTCCTTCTAGGCATGGCCCAAGATGACTCATTCTGATACTTGCTAGCACCTAATCGGAAACAATGCTTAACCGAAAAAAGAAATGGTTGTAAGTGAGACACTTCAAACTGGATTCATCTGAACTGCAAAAGACTTAGGAGGCGGATGTGTCAAATTAGGAAACCCAGCTTTCCCTGAAACTCAAAATTGATTTATCCAATTGAAAACAATCTAACTTTAAAGAATGTTATCCGAAACTACAAAAACATAGTCTGTCATAGAAAAAGAAACTCAGTTGAAAACAAGTAGGAAAAGGTAATAATATGGCTGTATATGTCAGTATAATAAACGAGAGATTTGGGTAAATGGTTAGAATTTTTAAAAAATACATATATGCACAGAAGAGTATTTTTTGAATGTATAATTTTAATTCACAAACTCATAAACATAAATCCAGAAAAACACCAATACTGAGGTCAACAACAGAAAACACTATTTGATATTGCTTATTGGGCATTTTATTAGAAGTCAAAACATTCCTATAAAAATTGTTAAAAATTATTTCAACTCATTACTCAAGACATCAGTTTTTCACATTAAAAATCCATACAAGTATTTTAATTTTAAAGTTTATTCAGTAAACACACAGTAAAATGTTCAATTCTTTCAATCTAAGATATTCATAATAATAAATTTCCTAAATTGAGACCTGATTTTATCTTCTATTCAATGTCAAAACTATTTTTAAGTTTAAATACTTTACATTTTAAATATGTTTTGGAAATTTTGGGTGTATCAGCAGTTTTAGGCTCAAGTGCTTTTAACTAGTGCTTTCCGAAAAGCCCACAACTAAGTACTCTCCACGGCACACTGCTCTCCCCACATTACGCCACCGACGTGTGGAAAAGTACTTACCCGAGAATCAGTACGTTCTCTGCCTTTTGTTAGACTCCTCCCGCGGGGAATCCGCCAGCATCACTTTAAGTCTCACCCCGTTCAGAATCTTCCCATGCAAAGTGGAGATGGCGTCGTTGGCGCTCACTCTGTCTGCAAACTTGGCATAGCCCACGTTTTTTCCGGACACGAGGTAGACTTCGATCAGGTTACCAAAACGACTGAAACAAAGGGGAACACATCAATCCGAACAGATCAACATGGCCGCTCGGCTCCCCACGTGGGGTGGGGTCCGCTCTGCACGCATCTGCCACTGCTCCGACACCCACGGCCATCTCCTGCCAGCCTTCCCCTCGGCGTCTCCCCCCTCGGCTGGTCTCCTCCACTCTCGTGCAGGTCTCTTTCCCCATTCAGAGCAGAGCCATCCGTGCCCTGGGCCTCTGGCCTCCAGCATGTCGCTTCTCCCCATCCTCTACCCTGTCTTCTGCGTGATCTGAGACAAGCTGTGCTGTCTCCCCCTAAACATCCCCTCAGAGGCTCCCCATCGCCTCCAGGGTGAGGACAAACTGCAGAGCCAGCTCTCAGCAGGGTCTCGGCCTCTTCACCTTCACACTCCCTCAGCCTCTCTCCCAGGCTGCCTTTCCTTTTCTCTGGGTCCTGCATATATTCCTTAGTGCAGCCCCAGTTTCAGCACAAGCTGCAATGTCCTGTTTGTCCATGTCCTAGGTGACAGCAGGTCTAGAAGGTCAGGGATCATGCTGTCTTGTCAAAGGAATAGCGTGTGTTGTTTACATGGTCTCTTGAGAACTTACGGCCTGCCTGGCACAGAGAGGCAATTTAGGAAAATATAACAAATGAATCAATTAAATAAATGCCTGATGTTTTGTGTAGATGCTTCCTATCTACCTTCTTAATTCATTAATATTCTTCCAATGAAAACAGAAAAAAAATGACCAACAAGAAAGTGTTAAGATAGGAGTATAAGGCTGGGGAGATAGCTCAGGGGAGTAAACACCTGCTTAGGCAAGTGCAGAGACCAGGATTTGATCCTAGGCACCACAGGCTGCACTGGTCCTGCCCCCAGGCATGCTGAGCTGGCCACAAAGACTGGGTGTGGTGGCACATGCCTGCAATCCCAGCACTGGGGAGGCTAAAAACAGAAGGACCACTAGGAGTATGAGCTGCATACTGAGACCCTGTACCAAATACATTTAAAAAATAAAATAAAAAAAGATATGTGAAAAAATTCTAGTGGACAGACAGGATGGATATATCTTCTTTCAAGAGACAAAATAGAAATGAAAAAGAGGATTTAAATAGGTCATTAAAAAAACTAAAGAACAAATCTTCTCTACCCAGTAGGTATTGGATAGAATACGTTTCAAGGTGGTAAGAAAGCTAAATTGTTAGTTTAAATAAATTATACTATAAAAATCTCACACTGTAGAACTGAAACCTTACCAGAATATATCCTCTAATACATCTAGAGGTAAAGGATGAGGATTAAACACAATAAAGAGTCTTTCTTTCACAGGAGTTTCTGGATCAGCTTTCTTCTTGCATGACGGAAGTATAACATCTGTCTGGATTTGAGGCAGCTGGGATCCAGAACTTCCTCCGAATTGCTGAAGAGTGAGGTATAATGTTAGAGAAAGAGAAACTGCATCTCAGAGATTTTTAGTCATAGCTACTGTTATGGTTTATGTACAGGTGTACCCCCAAAGGCTCATGCAGTCACAGGTGGCTTCCAGAGTTTCTGATTGTTGTGGGTGTGGATGCTGCACCTCCTGGGGCACATAATTTGCATTACAGTATAAGGAGGGGAAAGAGGCTAGCTAGCTGTTTGAGCTGCTGCCACTCCCTTTGCTCTTTGCTATTTGCCGCCACCTGAAAGGTTGTTCTCTGCCACATGCCACTCTGCCTTGGAGCCAGCTGAGTATGGACTGAAACCTTCAGTAACTGTGAGCTAAATAAACCCTTCCTTCCTTCATTTTTTTTTTTGGTGGAACCGGGAATTAAGCTCAAGCCTTTGCACTTGCCAGAGAAGTGCTTGTTCCACTGAGCCATCTCTCTGGCCCCTTCCTTCATTTTCACTGTCGGGTATTTGTCCCAGCAATCAGAGAAGAATAACAGATAGCTACAGATATGTACAGTGTTGGCCCCTACGTGTTCCTCCAGGACCACTCTGAAAATTTTCTTACTTAGTAGGGAATAAACAAAGGTCATATTTATCTTTGATTCTCCTGGCTGCATCAGGGGTGGAATTTTTCCCTACTTACCAGAAATTGCTGCTGGTTTGGGTTATTCCACACCACTGAGGCAAGCTGTGCGGCTACCATCTGTGTGGCCATTTTTCTAAGGAGACTGGAGACAAAAACTGATCATGTACAGTGAGCTGGGAATACTCAGTTCCAACAGTAACTTGCTTTGTGTGACTTTCCTGGGAGTCACTGTTTTCAAGTCATAACCACATCCCCGGAATGGTACTTACTCTGTCGCATTATTTCCATCATCAATGAAGGAAACACCTATCCGATTCCCAGGAGGGTACTGAAATCCATGTAACTTGTACTTTGCATAAATAGCCGATGCTACATTAAAATACTGAACCACTCCATGACCTAAAATAGAGAACACACGACATGAAAAAGGAACGCAAAAACAGATTTATAATGTATCTCAATGGTGAAACAACTTGATTCACATATCTAGTAATCCAGAATCAACAGTTTCAGATAATAAAGTTTAGTCATACATGTGTGGTTCAGCAGCATTCCTAGAAAGTAAAGCATAGGTCACATTTTGGAAAAAATATAAGTATGCTATTCATAGGAAAATGGAGTTTTAACATGTGTTCTGTATAATCCTTTTAAGTTTTATACATTGGCTTTTCTTATATAATATTAATGTAACTACAAATTCACATTTGTAGGTTTTGAAACTGGTTTTTAAATTTTAAACTTTAAGTGTAACATACTGGGTAGGAAATGAAATGAGAAGTACTATAAGGAAAGAATATATTTGCACTAGGTGCAGTCATGGAAGGAAAACGTGTATGTACAAAAAACAAAAGGTAAAGAGCAGAAGGTCTCAGAACAAAAGTCACCTAGTTCCCATCCCTTGGGCAAGGTTTCAGCTAAAGGGACAGATTTCAATTTAAAAAGTTGATACTGAAGGGAGAAACAATTTCGTACTGGAGAGCCCAGGAGCCTGTGACACAAGAAAAAGGTTTTTAGATATATTTAAAATACAATATATGTTGGGGAAATACCTATAATTTGATCTTTCTGTCTAAACTCAAGCATCCAATATTTTATGAAATTAAAACACAGAAATCAAATGACCATGTAAACCTGACTGAAACAGACTGAACATCCCGGAGCATCACTATTCTTGCAACACTCATCAGACATACCTAATCATATAACAAGTACAGTAAATACATTTCAATATACTTGATAAAGGCGATTTCATGGGGGGCATAAAACAGAATTACACATAAATAAACATAACAACAAATATGTCAGGAAACACAACATATGGGCCTAGGAGCTTCAGACAGGGTAAGACTAGGCTCAGGCTGGAGAGAGCGCACAAGAGGCTCAGAAGGAGCTGCGCTAGAAGACAAGCGCTAGCAGGGCAACATGGGGATGTGGGGTGCCCCTCTGAAGGGGGAGGTGCTTCAGGGCCGCCAGCCCCAAGCCGGACTCATCTCCCTGCTTCCCCTCAACACTCATGACCTTCCGAAAGGACTCCATCAGGTGCACCTGTTGTCCTGGAAGAATGCCAAGTATGATGTCTTCATACCGCTCTTCATTTCTAGCTCTTCACAAGCAAGCAAAATCGCCTTATATTAATCAAAAGATTACAAATACAAATTCTGCATGAGGTATCTCCTTTTGCTACTTGAAACAAAGAATGCTTTATTTTGCAAGAGTTAAAATATATATTTCTATATATTTATATTTTTAAATGAGTAACTCTGTACAAAGGAAATACATTCCCAGGGTGTTTGCTCATTAAGATAGCAATAGATTTTAAAATCTGAAATAGAAAGAAAACATGAAACTCCTGTCAGACACAGTATCTGACATAAAAAAACACATTGGAGAAGACCTCTTAACAAAATGTAATATATTTAAAAACAACATAGACAGTATTTTACCGTAATTTGAATAGGGATCTCGTTGAACTTCACAATACTCCAATCCTGGTACTATATCAAAAATGCTGAAGAGCTGCTCCTCAGTGAAAGGAACTCTTGATACAACTGATAGGCGTTTGGAGATAGATTCCTGGCCTCTGCTATCATTCTTGTCAAAATTTGGGAATTCTGATTGTTGATCTCCAACAGTATTTAAAAAAAAATAAGGAAAGCCTTAAGTTTTGATATTCAAAAAGTTATGTAACAACTTATGCACTAGAAAATAAAAGTCCATTGCAGTGAACAAAGGCACTGCCTTTTGTATTACCCTTTTAGCACCAACAGTCTAGAAGTGACCAATGAGAAGCAAGCACGCAACTCTCCCTGTTAGAGAAACGCCAAGTCTGACTGGCTAGGAGAAAGTTCAGTATGTAAAACTGGAAAACATACCAAGAATTTTATAGCAAATAACATTTAAAGACTTGCTGTCATCACTCACTTTCCCCTTCCTCTAGCTTCTACTTTTGTCATTCTTTTCTATACTCCTAACCTTAAACCAGCCAGTTTTGAGACAAAATATTTTTTAGGGTTCATACTGAAGGGATACGTGTGTATATTTTCTCTAATTTTTGGTTACCTGGATAAATGCAAATGTCCACTCCAACAGTGGCATTGACATAATTTAATTAGATAATCCTCAAATAATCAGAGAAAACTAATGGGAAATAAGTTAAACAAAATAACTATTAAGGAAGAAGGAACTTAAACTCTTGAGCTTAGTTGACCTTTAAAAGTAGGGTCAACTTTTTAGGGAAAAAACTACCTTTAAGATTTTTATTCACAATGAGATTCATAGATTAATGATAATGAAATAGTTAAAGAACAATCAATTTAGAATGCATATAGCAGATCTACTACTGAAGTCAAACTAGTCTACTTACCAAATGGAAACATATTTACTCTAGGTTCATGGCCCAAAGCCTCCTGCCTCATATTACTGTAATAATCCTGTTCTGAGGATTCAGGTGGTTTGTTTTTTGGTTCAGCCAAGATTGCTCTAAAACCTGAAAAAGAGAATCCATGAATACCAAGTTTCTTTGCAAATTTAATATACTTGTAAATATACATGGTAGCTGGTCCACGTCTTAGCTTCACTGTCCAACTGTACAAAGCCCTTGTCCACCCGGCCACCTCCACCAGACTCACTTCTTGGCTTTCTGAGCGATGTGGCGAATAACGCATCCCGCAGCAAGAATCCCCACCTGTGGGTCAGTGTAGGCGAGGAAGCTGCAGCTCACCTGCACATGGCATCATTCACGACCCGAGCTCACACCAAAGTCCTGTCTGGCTTCGTCACATTTCAGGTGCTACCAAGATCCTTCCTTTACACTTAGAATACATGATTCTTTACACTACCTTCTCTGTTTTCAGTTTAGAATCTCTTCAATTAGTAACAATCGCCCTGTAAGGGTCTCACTGTTTCTGGATGGAGAGTTCTTAACTATACATGAGACACAAAAGGTGGGGAGGAGCACTCTCTGAACTCTAAACAAAATACTTACACATGGGTGATATTTAAGCTTTCGTATCATACTGTGGTTCCAAAGAAGATAAAACTGGTTGGTTTGAATTCCTTCCATGGAAATCTCTCCTCAACACTGTGTTAGTTCAACTGCTCTATAAGCTTTACTTATTAGCAATTATTATTTGCAGTATGAGCTATATCTCCAGCCCTTTTTTTTTTGATTTTCAGACAATGTCTTAGTAAGTGGCTAAGTTACATAAATTAAGCTGGACTCAAACTTGTGGCCCTCCTGTCCCAGCCTCCTGGAGTGCAAAGATTACAGGAATGTGCCACCACATCCAGCTAAGCTTTACTATTTAGAGAATTCTAATGTGGTCTAAGTAGGAACTCTGCATAAGCATCCAATGTGGCTCCAATGTACTTAGCTGACTCTGTCGATCGCTCAGCAAGAGTTCTGTGCTTATGCGAGTGTCTCCCTGACAGGAAGAGCAAGACAAGTTCACTCCTGGCTCTGCCCCTGCTCACCTGACTGCTCTCACCTCCTCCCTGTGCACTGCACACCAGACCAAGTCCCCGCTCTTCGGAATGCGTTCCCAGCTCACTCTGCACCTGCTGCTAAGCCCTGGTCAGCTCTCTGCGCTCCTCAATCCTTCTCGCACTGAGCAAATACTGAGTCTACTCTAAACAGAATTTACTTTGAAAGAGATTTCAAGAAATGTTTACTAATGCCTATTACTATAGTAAATATCTGGAATGATGGCAAGACAACACATATTTCTTATTTTTGAACAGCATTTAAAAATTATTCTATTAGTCAGTTATTTTTTTTACCTATTAAGTCTCATTTCCCAATGTGGATATAAAATCTTTAAGTGCCAGGATTGCCATATTTTCTATTTCTAAAATGTTTAACATATTAATAACTGTAGCATAGGTACTCAACGAAGGCTGGCTGAATGGGAAATTTAGAAGGATCTATAATGAAATTTTGGTGTGGACCTTCAGGGTACCTAAGAATTCTATTAATAATTTTTTCCTGTATGAATTTTCATAATTCTACAAACAGCTATTTCTAAAAGTCAATGCAGTTAGTAGTATGATGAAAAAAATATTTTTCATAATATCTGTAAAATGCTTAGCCTTTATTATTTATATTAGTTACAGTAGAAGATTCAACTGCCATAATTCTTAGCTAAAATTCAACTCTATAATTACTATCTAGATTAGGAAACCTTAGCAATCCTATGCTTTCTGTATGTATTTATTAGTAAAGTTAATTCTACTTAAGAATTTAGATTAAAAAGTGAATAAATATGGTATAGTATTAAAAACTGAAAGAGTAAATCGAATTTCAATACCTTAAATTCTGATATATATACATATACATATAAATGTATATGTACGTATGCACTGCATATGCTACATTAATGTAGTTGCCCAGATGTCTCTTCACAGCAGTGCTTCTGTAAATGCTTAATCATTACCCCAAAATATTTTTCATCTTTCAATTATGCATAATTAAACATCCACTCTTAAGATTTAATTACTAGATATGTTAGCAAAACCCAATGTTATATTCAGTTATTTAGAATAGTTGTAATTTTAAAGAAGTCATTAACATTCTTACTTCGATCACAGTTTTCTATTGCTTGGGCAGCTTGTGATGGTTTTAAATATCGTACGTAACCCAAACCTTTACTTTCTCCAGTGACTTTATTCTTAATAATGCTGCAATACTCGATATCTCCATACACCTATAAGAGTTAAAAGACATGATCTTAGGGGACTCAAACTTAGTAACTGAAGAGATCATTTCAGAACTAACTTTAAGTGTATGATTATTCATGCCTTGTGGCCACTGGGGTGGAGTGTGAACTTGATTGGTTTTGGGATCCACCTGGGGCATTGGAAGCTCACATTTCTTGGTGCCTCAGTGCATCATGAAAGCATGGCCCTGGGAGGTCTCTGTCTAGCCCCTTGCCTCTTCTGCACTGCCACTGCTCCCCTGCTCTGGTTCCCCTGCTCAAGAAGGAACTCCTCGAAAATTTGAATTGTAAGATTTTTTTTTTCGTTATTCTCAATCATCCAGCCTCTCAAGAGACTGCTACAGCCATGGTCTAAGAAGAGTGGCTACTGCTGCCACTGGCATCCGAGCTTGGTAGCATCACCATGATGCTGATTTTACTGGCATGCAGAATGAAGAGTTGTGGGGTCAAAGAGGCTTCCCCCCAGATTTTAAAGGAAGGCTTGCAAGGCCAGGCAAGGAGCCTCTGCAAGGGCAGTGTATAAATCTGTAGGAACAAAACTGAAGATACAGAAGAGAAGTCAGCAAGTTGAAGGTGCCAGGAACGTGGAATGTCTGCCAAGGAAAGCTGCAGATTATGAGTTAAACCAGTGAAAGAGGCTTGTGGGCTTCAACTGGCAACCCATAGGGATGGGACTGCCCATGCCTTCTGTAACCCACATTTTACTACCACATGCCCACTGCTATGGCGCTACAAGGAATAATGTATGTCCTGGTGGAACTGAGTCTTGATTTGGTTTGATTCTTTTTTTGTTCTCCCTTCCTGCTTTTTGTAATGGAAATGTTTTCCCTATGCTATTGAACAGTACAGATTATATATAATTTGTTGTTTTCACAGAGATTTTCAATTTGTTTGCCTTGAGTCTCAGAAGAGTTTGACCTTCACTTTTGAAAAATAGTGAACAGGTAGGATTATGTAACTTGTTTGTTATTTTCATACTGGTTCTCAATTTAAGAGTTTGCCTTGAATCTCAGAAGAGAGTTTGACTTCAACTTTTGAAAAATAGAGGAATTATTGACTTTTGGGAAGAAACTGTTATGTTTCTATTTGTACATACTATAGTTGTATTAGTTTAGGCAAAATTATAAAGTTGCTGATGTTTCTATCTAGAGATTAGGTATGGCTTTAAAATGTTATCAAGGGGTGTGATACAGTGGTTAGGATGTACATCATCTTGATTAGCTTTGGGACTCACCTGGGGCATTAGTGGAGCACACTTCTGGGTATGTCTGGGTGTGTTACGAAGGTATGATCTGGCAGCATCTGTGTGTGTGTATCTGTGTGTGTGTCAATGTCTAGTCCCTCACCCTTTGCTTCCTGGGCCTGTTTCCTTGTTCTGGTTCCTGGCCACCATGAACTAAGTAGCTCTGCTTTACCACATCCTCCCACCATGATGTTTCTGTCTCAGAGCCAGCTGACCATAGACTAAATCCTCTTAATACATGAGTCAAATTAAAGATCTCCTTTTGGATGTGGGTATCCTGTATTTTTGTCTAGTTATGGGAGAGCTGACTAATGTACACATGCTTCTTGCTTGCAATGAAAGAAAGGCTTCCAGGATACAAGATATTTTTTAACTGCTTATTTCATAGTGAAGGAAGCTGAACTTTACAGACATCAAATAATTTGCATTGGTCATAGAGGAGGTAATTCACAGTGAACAGACTTGCATATGGTCTGGGTAGCTTCAAATTCTTAGTTGTAGTCAGGAGCAGAGGCTCTAGAACTGGGCTTTCTAGATTGAAACCTGGTTTTACTAAACAGTCAACAGATATTAAGAATAACTTTAACTGTCTTCTAACAGGAGCATAAGTGAGCGTGTACTCTTTTGGAGGAGAACAAGTCCAAGTATAACTCTAAACACTCAAAATACGAATCATCTATTTGAGAAATATGTACTGATATATATTTGTAATGTTGGAAAAAATCTCGATAAAAATTTTTGGTATTGTTTATTTTAATAAATTCTTCTGTACTCAGTAACTTAATTACTATACATAAAGTCTTAGTTGTTACTCAGAAAATAAAAAGTTATAAATATAGAAAAAAAACATTTTTCTTATGATAAGTATGGAACATATTTTTTGACAAGTTATTTTTGAGATATTCTATTCAAATTTCACTTGGGGTAGAATAGGGAAGTTTGAAAATCACTTTTTTCTGCTTATTTTTTTTCTTTCTTGCTTCACACCCACCTGATCCATAGCACCAGTAGCATAAATAGAAAAAAATTTAAAAAGTATAACTGAAAACAACTTAAACACTTAATTTTTGTAGAAGTTTACCACTGTATATAAATGTAAATGGCTAAAAACATGTAAGATTATCTTCAAATTCCATTTACTATTATCTATATTCAGAGGTAAAGTTGTTTCCTTCAATATATTTCCTGCAGAGGCCCAAGTTTAGGACAAAAACTTATCAAATGATAAACCTTTCTAAAAGAGAACACCACAAAAGTTTTTCTCTATGTAAACTGTCAACATGCCATAGGTCCACAATTAATATTAAATAATACTGGCTTGCATAATCAGGCCTGGCCAACTCATCTTTATATAAGCAGCAAATAGGTAGAAGTGATTAAAAAAATGCTTTAAAATTATTAAGATCAAAAGCAGGATCCAGACTCTGTGTTTAAATCTTAGGTCTACCAGCAACTAATTGTATGATCTTACTTCAAACTCGCTGAGCTTTGCATTTTCTGCATCTACCTTTTCATGATACTGTTTGGCAGGAGGTCACCCAATACTATTTCCAATTTCCAGTAACTGTACAACAATCTTTAAGAACTGAGTCACCACAAATGCTAGGTGATTAGGAAACACACATACCTTAAATTTTTCCCGTAGATCTTCTTCTGTGTAGGACTTTGGTATCATAACAAAGATTCTTGTAAGCTCTTCATCTTCAACATCTCGGTGACTTCCAGATGATCTGGACTGAGCAATGAATACCTAAGAAACACACGAGACCTCCAAATAATGCCAGTTGTTTTCCTACTCCTTAAAGATTCATAATAATTATATGTATGGAATTTAAATTAGCTTACAACACAAAGTGAAAGGACCTTATGAAAACCTTTGTTTCTCAAAAGTAATCTTCATTGTAATGACTGTTACATACCAATCTTTGCTTTTCTTTCTGAATACTTGTTTTTCCACTTTTGATTGGCAAAAGCAAGTCAGTACTACTTAAAAAGAATGTGTACCTTGCAATTGTTGACAGTTCAATAGATGTTTATTATATATTTCATAGCTATTAAAACACTTGTCTTTATTTTTACTTATTCTATCAGATACTAAGAGAAGAATATAAAAGTCTGATTATGAATTTATCTGTTTTATTTTTTGTTGTGTATGTTTTGAGACAGGGTTTTGTTAAGTTGCTCGAGATATCCCTGACCTTGTCCTTCTTCCTCCCACCTCAGCCTTCTCATTACAGGTGTGCACCATGTGGCTGACCCTCATCTTTTTCTCTTTAGTAATGTCAATTGTGTTTCACATGTTAGTAAGTTCTTACTGGGTGCATACACATGAGATTCATTAGACAGCTTATAACTGATGCTCATTCTTATGAAATCACCCTATCTGGTAAAATCCCATATGTGGAAATCCATTTTTCTAATACCATGCCAACTTTTGTAGTTTTATTTTCAACCACTCAGTACCTTTGTATTTAAAGCTCTTGCAGTTATTTCCTTGGGTACTGTTTTTTTGTTTTAAGCCTGTCTTATAATCTGTTCCAGGGGCCGGGAAGATAGCTCAGTAGAATAAGCACTTGCCTGGCAAGTGCAAGGGCCTGAGTTCAATCCCTGGTTCCACCAAAAAAAAAAAAAAAAAAAAAAAAGTTAAAAAAAAATCTCTTCCATTTAATTACTGTTTATTTCATTTGTAATTAATGTAATTATTGATACACCTGGGTTTAAGTCTAGATGGTTTTTTACTAATAATTTTTAGAAACAAATCACAGCCATATTCATTCATCTTAGTGACTATCCAAATGATTTCATAGATGAACAGGAAAAGGCACAGGCTGATTTTTCTAATCTTGGCAATTGACTTTTAGTGAAACACTGATACTAGAGTGCTCTGAATTTAATTTGCTTAGTAGAATTGCTTTTATCTAATTTCTAAATTTTTCTTGGCTTTATACAACATGCCAAAGGAATGTTAAAATATGGGACTAAGATTATAAACTTGTTTTTCAGCTATAAGTGTAGTAAGTTTAAAGGCTAGGTTTTTATTTATTACCTGAATATAACATGATTAATTAAATCACCTTACACATTGAGGTTTTGTGTGTACAGGTACACACTGCCTTTAAAGGGTGGCAGTATATGTTAACAAATTAGGAAGCAGCAACTCAAAAGGATACTGGATGTTAAAAGTCTTGTGGGATATGGGGTGGGGTGTGTTGACACATGGCTGTAATCCTCAATATTTGGGATACTGAGGCAGGAGGATTACTGTGAGTTCCAGGCCACACTAAGCTATATACTCAGTTCAAGGCCAGTTTGGAGTTTGGACTATTTAGTGAGACCCTGTCTGAGAAAACCAAAAATCAGTCAAACAAGAAAGCCATATGGGATTTTATTAAGTGTTGAGAAAAGAGAGTATTAAAACCATAAGAAAAGGTCATAGAGCCGGCCAAATAGCTCAGTGGATTAAAGCACCTGCTTAGGCAGATGCAGAGGCCAGGGTTCAATCCCTGGCAAGCAGAGATGGCAAGTGAGACTGGGTGTGGCGGCACACACCTGTAATCCCAGCTCTTGGGAGGCTGAACACAGGCAGATCACTACAAGTCTGATCGATGTAGTGAAATCCTGTAGACCCTTTCCTAAAATACAAAAAAAAAAAAAAAAAAGAAAAAGGTCATTATTTTTGCAAGAAAACAACCATTTCTCCTTCCATAATCTGTACTGTATGCCAAGCACTGTAGTGTCGAAAACCACAGAAATGGACCAGCAGAAAATTACTCTACTAGATGCAATGGTATAATGAATGTTAAGTAGGAAAACATAAAAGAGGGAAGCATTAAGAGGAGCTAGAGGAGAAATAGAAGCCTCAGGTAAAGATGTTATCAGATCACCAATCTCCAAACTTTAGAGGACTGAAATGTGTCAAATCATTGATAAAGAGCCATCCATGTAGAACAGAAGAATAACTTCCCAATGGAAGATTTTTTCCTCACACAGTTTTATCCTCTTGGACAATAAATTTTCATAAACGGACAGGGTTGGGAATTTAATTTTTCTTGTAGGGAAGTGGGTTTTCAATTTGGAGCTTTTTTCAGTTACCTATATGGGCTATGAAGTCCTGTTATACTCAAAAGTATAAAAACCCATTCCATCAAGGTCCTTAACTGGAAAGAGATGAAAATTATCAGTGTAGTGCAGGACTTGGCAAACTATAGCTCTGTTTTTGGTATAATCTATAAAAATTGATTTTACATTTTGAAAGGGTTGTTGGCAGTAATAAAAACAGGATATGACAGAGTCTGTTGTCTCCAATCTATAAAATATTCACCATAGGATCCTTTATTGAAAAAGTCTGTCAATCTCTGATATAGTATAGGATGTGGTCCTACAATTAATTACATTGATGGCCGTTCTGAGTCATTTCAGAGGATGGGGGAGTTGGTTATAAATTTATCTTTCTTCTTTTATCTCTATCAGTAATACTTCATGTATTTTGAAGCTCTACTGTTGGTCACACCCACACATGGGATTGCCAAGTTTTTGTTACTGTCTACTGGGTTGTGGTAGACAGTAACAAAATTATCTGGTTGTTTTTCTTTTGTCGATGGAGGTATAGGCAAGACTTCCAGAGAGAAATAGAGTCTTTCATTTACAAATCCTCATTAATACTCTTCTGAATTTTGAGTAAATGAGAGAAAGAGTGAGAGCGTGCACATGCGAGAATTAGAGAAAACTGAGGGTAAATTTTTTACAGAAACTTTCAACATATGCAGCAACTACTACAGTGTAGGTGAAGGGTATAATGTAATCAATAGCTAGATTCTAGATTCTCAGGGTTGGGTCCTTATTTGATCCAAAAGCTACTAAAACTATTATTTGCAATCTACTACTACAGAAAAACCTTGGCTACTGATGCCTTACTTTGTGCCAGGCATTGTGCTAACAGGTTAGACCACGAGAAATAACCCTGAAAACGATTCTTCCTGCATGTGCCACTATCTTAATTTAACATAAAACTAAGTATAGAAATTTAATATAAACACCACTAGACTAAGCTAAGAGTAGGCAAAGAAACTTTCATTACAATGATTTGGCACTATCATTACACTATCATTACAATGATTTGGCACCTCTTGGGGCTGTTACTTTGCCCTGCTTTCAAAGAAAAGTAGCAGTAACTAACATAGGGTCAACGACCAAGTATATGCCACTCACATTTGCAGGGTTACAGCTGATTTGAATAATTTAAAAATAGCACAACGGGGAGGGCATGTGCAGAGACGGACAGGCACAGAGTCCCTCACGGCAGGCGGAGTGAGCGGGCTGTGGACTCAGGAGTTGCTGGGAACGACAGCGTGTCACGATGAGCGCTGCCCCAGGCGGGCCCGGAGGAGCCGGCGCGGGGACCCTCCCCGCACCCCGCCGGTGCGCGGCGTCCGCCCTGACCCCCACCCTGCCGCCCCGCGCCCCGCGTCCGCACCTTGATGGGCTTGGTGTTGTTGGGCTCCAGGCACTGTCCGTGCATCTCCTCCATCGCCCTGCAGGCCTGCGAGCTGCGCGCGAACTTGATGAAGGCGATGCCCTTGGACTCCTTGGTGTGCTTGTCCCGCACCACCCAGATGTCCTGGATCTCGCCGAAGCGGGAGAAGCGCTCCCGCAGCACCGCCTCGGGCGTGTACTTGCTGATGACCAGGAAGATGCGGCTGTTGGGCGGCTCGTCCAGGCTGTCCACGCCCGGGCGGAAGCCACTGACGCCGCCGCCCGCAGAGCTGCCGGCCTCTTCCATCGTGCCGCACCTCGGCGCGGGCGCCGGGACCCAGCCCTCGCCGCCCTCGCAGCCTCGGCCCCGGTCTCCGCCTCCTCGCCGGTCCGCCGCTCAGTTTCCGGAAAACCGTAGAGTCAGGCGTCGGGCGGGTCCCGCCCCAGGAGTGCGGGCTTCCGGGAACAGCCTGCAGCGCCCCCTGGCGTAGCGGGGGACCCGCCCCGAGACCGGGTCTCCCTGCTCGAAGTTAGCATCACCATGTATGTACCATGCTTGTTCTCTCAGGTCAGAGCAGCTGGACTGAAAACAAGGCTTTCCAAGCGATGGCTTTGCCTCGCTGTGATGCCAAACCCAGGGATTCTTCCCCAAAATTTTACAATAGCACTTGTGAAAGATAGCCGACTTTATTCAAGTTGCTTGGGCCAAGGAGGGTCTTGGTGTTATGAACTGGCACCAGTACAATAGGGTCTTGAAATGGGGCTGTATTGAGAGACGGTTTCCATCTGACTTCCATAAGGCAAATCGGAGTTCAATAAGGGGATATATAATCAAGATCAGGAGGAGAATCAGTGGATGGACAACTACTCAACATCAGGGCTAAGAAGGATTAAAAAAATTTTTTTTTTTTTGGTACCAAGGATCAAATTCAGGACCTTGTGCAGGTACTTATACCACTGAGCTACCTCCCCATTCCCTTAAGAAGGATTCTTGCTAGATCTGCTTAACAGATAGCTCACAGTAATAAAATGTTAGTGGGGATCAGAATCCAAGAGCGAGGACTGTCATTTAGCTGAGTTAGTAGAACTCCTGCTCAAACTGGACTCTACAAGAACAGAGAGTCCAAGATTGGACCTAGTCAACTATTCACTATGTGTTGGGCACTATGTTATATCTAAGGGAGAAAGTGTTAAAATAGTCAATCTCTTTATCACGTAGCTAATAGTTTAGTCTTCTATAATTAGGATCAGATGGAGCTGCTTAATTTAGGAATCAAATGAAATACTATGTGCAGTGGCATGAAAGAAATTAATTTAATTGTTCCATCCAACTATGGTGCCCCCCCCCCATAAGGAATAGTTGCTTGGTGGTAACTTAGATGCAAGACTTCTGGGTGGTTATCCTGGATTTAGCAATAATGAGATTGTCATCATTTCTCTGTGCCATAGCTATATCATGGAGCTGCTGTTTATTGCAGAGCTTAGTAAGGCGAGGAAGTATCTTGTTTGAACTTTCACTTCTCTTATCTAATCAAGATAAAGAAAAAGAAATAACACTGTGGTAATTTCATTGATATGAATTAGTGCAGTTTCTGAGCTATTTCCACACCAGTGCCATCTAGTGGAAAGTTTATACAGTGCTTACACTGCTCTGACTAAGCTGTCTATTCCTTGTAAAATAAGACTACTGATGTGTGTCCTGAAAAGTTTTAGGCTGATATTCAGAGAAGCTAGTTTTTCTCAAAAAGAAAGGGGGAGAGGATGCAAGGGAAGCCAAGTTTCTTCATAAGCAAGCCATGAAATCCCACATATTCAAGAAAAATAAGAAATTTAGTTATAAATTACTAATATACAATGAGTACATGTTCTTCATAGCACTTATTTATTTTCAACAGGTATTTGAGATATAATTCCCAAGTCATAATAATTCCCACTTCACCTTTTGAAGTGTTCTATCAGGTATTTTTTTTTAGTATATGTGCGGCCGAAGTGAGCACCTATCAGTTATTTTTGGAATGTCCACAGAGTTTACAAGTGTCATTACAGTCAACTTCAGAGCATTTCATCACTCAATAATGACAGAATTGACTTATTTTGAAAATGAATTACACAGATTGGAATATTTGATGTGTCTGAGAGGCTGAGGTTGAAAAAAACGACTATTAGAATAAATTAGAGAAAACATGTATTGGGCACTAGCAGGATAAATTTTTTCAAGGTTTTAAAATATGTATTCTAGCCAGGCTTGTTGGTGTACTCCAGTACTCTAGGAAACTGCAGCAGGAATATTTCCCAGGCAGTTTTGTAGTGAAATCCTCTCTCACAGGAAGAAAAAGAAAGAGCAAGGAGGTAGCTCAAGAAGAAGGAAGACCTGGGTTCAACTGCTAGGACTGAAAGATCAACAGATTTATTGTATATAAAGTAAGAGGTTGTTTGACATTTTTCCTTCTTCAAAGCTTATGTATTTGGTTTTTAAAAATGAAAGCCAAGAACCTGAGGATGTAGTTCAGTGGTAGAGTACTTCCTGTATTTTTTTTTTTTTTTTTGGTGGAACTGGGGATTGAACTCAAGTCCTTGTGATTGCCAGGCAAATGCTTATTCTACTGATCCATCACTCCAGCTCAGTACTTTCCTAATACTTATGAGACCCTGAATTCAATTCTCTACCTGCTATAGAGGGATATTATGACTAATTTTTTGAAATGCAAAAAGAAGCGAGCAATCTTCTGTTAATGCCTTCTAAATTCTCTAACTAAATGTGAGTACAATGATGCTTGGTTAGTAATACTAGTCTTCATACATTACATTTAATTAAAGTGCTTTGCTCCATTAGAAAATTTACTGTGGATTTGACCGGTGTTACTTGTTGGTGATCAATCAGTAACTTTTAGCTTGTTTATTTATTTATTGTATTTAGTACAGGGTCTAAAGGGTCTACAGGGTCTCACTACGTAGATCAGACTCATAGTGATTCTCCTGGTTTCAGCCTCCTAAGAACTGGGATTACCCGTGGCCTGGGGGTGGGGCCGGCACAGCAGCCCAGGGATCAAACCCCGGCTGCTGCGTTCTGCCTAAGCAGGCGCTTTAGTTGGCTTAGGCAGAACGCCCTTTTTTTAGCTTGTTTTATTTTATTTTTTTAAATTTTTATTTATTTATTTATTTATTTATTTTGTGTGTGTGTGTGTGTGTGTGTGTGTGTGGCCAGCTCAGCCCCCCAGGGGCAGGGCTGGCTGGCATGTGGTGCTGGGGGATTGAACCGCGGTACCTGTGCTTTGCTTAGCTTAAGCTTGTTCTAAGTAGGCGCTTTAGACCACTGAGCCATCTCACCAGCCCTTTTAGCTTGTTTTAAATGCATATGGTCTAGAGCTTCAGTTTGTTACATCTATAAGGTATTGGTTATTAGTAATATGCATAAGCACTTAGCTTGGCACATTATAGGCAGTCAGGAAATTGTAGTTTCTTTCCTGAGTTTGCATACCTTTGTTTGACGCTCTTTTTTAGCTTGTTTTAAATGAATATGGTCTAGAGCTTCAGTTTGTTACATCTATAAGGTATTGCTTATTAGTAATATGCATAAGCACTTAGCTTGGCACATTATTGGCAGTCAGGAAATTGTAGTTTCTTTCCTGAGTTTGCATACCTTTGTTTGAGTTTGAGAATAATATTTTGCCTCTGATTTTTTTTTTTTTTTTCAGGAGGCAGGGTCCTTATGATTCAAACTGATGACATAAATCTTTTCAGTGTGTAGCTAGAGGGGCAGAGCACATGGTGATTCTATTTAAATTAAAATTAATTACTCTAAATTAATTGTGATTAAAAATAATATAAAGCCAGTTCCAAATGGCTTGATTTATGACATTCAAAATCTATTAGCTACTTAAAAAGAAACATAAACAGAATGTTTCCATCACAGCAGAAAGGTCTATGGACAGCACTTCTCTAGAAAACTAGTATATAGGGTAAACCTCCTACTCAGTTAAACTACAACCTTTTTACTATTGTAATTCCAAATATCTTAGCTGGGGAACCTGTTTTAGAAAATAATTTTAATATTTCTCTTTCTCTGCCACAGCCTTCTCTCTCACCTCTCACTCAAGTAATTTTATAACCACAAGTTTCTATTCCTCTGTGTGTGTGTTTTGTTTTTCTTTGGTGGTACTGGAGAATTTGAAACACAGCACAGGCAAGCATGGTATCACTAACCTACATACCAGGCCCTTTTGCATCACTAGATTGCTCAGGTTCGCCTTCAACTTACCATCTTCCTGCATCAGCCTCCCAGAGTGCTGTTATAATACATGTGACACAACACCCAGCTCTGTTACACTTTGGGCACCTTCAGGCTCTGCCATCGGGTTTTTGCATTATAGCATTTTATGTAATGCATTTGTAATAATTTAGTTTACTGTATTTTGCATCTTGCTCCCCTAGATTAACTCATGGAGAACTGGGGCAGTGAGTTTCTGTGTTTGTACTCCTAACTTGCTTGGCACAAGACCTTGCCCACTGGAGAGAGTGCTCATTTTATTATTGTGGCTTGATTCTTGTCACCAAATGTTCTTCGATCTTTTCTTCTTTTTTGTGGCCGGGGCTGGCGTGGCAGGTGGTGCCAGGGATCAAACCACGGTTCCGGAGCTTGCCTAAGCTGGAGCTTTAAACCACTGATCGTTCTTGCCAGCCTCCTCTCGGGACACCCTTAAAAGAAGGCGTTACTACTTTCAAACTGTCTGCTTAAATAAAGGCGGAACACACAAAAAAGACAGGTTCAGGACCTTAAGGCCGGAAGGCCACGCACCTTGTTCCTGGAGACTCTGCCAGTGGCTGGGCTGCGCAGTAGGTCCCCAGCCCCCAGGCTCCGCGAGAGTTGGGATCTCGCGGGACGTGGGGGGCCAATCAGTAGCTTGGGCAGATGCCACTCTTCTGCTCTGCCGCCCACCCTGAAGCACATGCTTGGCGGGGCTTGAGAAGGCTTGAGGAGGCACCCGGGGTGGAGGCCCAGCCACAGGACTGGCTGTTTCCACGCGAGGGTGCAGGCGCTCGGCTGGCAGCGGCCCGAAGGAGGCGGAGGACGGCGCTGCTGGCCTTGTGGCAGGTGTGGGCCCGGGTGGGGAGGCGGGTGGGCAGCCTGGACCGGAGCGCGCCGGGGCCCACGCGGTGTGGCCTGAGCTTGCTCAGCAGGGAGCGCCCCCTGCCGGGTTTAGGCGGCTCCGGCCCTTCCGCCAGTACTGTGTGGCTGCTGGGATTACTGCTGCTGCTGTCATCAGCAGCGTGTTGGGGAGGCCCCCGCATCCTCCGGATGTCCGCGTGGTGCTGATTTCTGTGTAGAGCTTTCTGCTGTCGCTTGGCAGCTTCAACCCAGAAGAGCCCAGGTCGGGGGTTTGAAAAGCTGGGTTTTGTTC